TTCTTTCTTTCTTTCTTTCTTTCTTTCTTTCTTTCTTTCTTTCTTTTTTTCTTTGAGATAGGGTTTCACTATGTGGCCCAGGCTGACCTTGAATTCTTTCTGCTGTCTTGCAAGTGATGGGATTGCAGGCATGTGCCACCATACGTGATACCATTTGATTTTTAACTGTCATTTCAAGGAATGTAGAAATTAGTATATATATGACTGGGATATTTATAATATTAAGTAATCTCCCCAAGATTGTGACATAAAGCTATTTATAATTACATTTTATTAACAGCCTATTTTATATTTTCTTTTTTTTGTGGTGATAAAGATCAAACATTAGTCCCCATAAATTCCAGGTAAGCCCTCTATTACTGAGATAAATTCCCATCTCTTAAAAAAATCATTTTTAGTGTGTAAGCATGTGTGTGTGTGTGTGTGTGTGTGTGTGTGTGTGTGTGTGGAATTGGCTCTCTTCTGCCTTTTTGCTGGTTTAGGGGATTGAGCTCACATCTGCTTTTTAAATAACAGAAGCAGGGACAGTTTATTAAGAGTAAGTATACTTCCAGGGGAGAGGAAGCAGGCCAGAGCAAAGAAACTTTCATTCCAAGAACTTTTACCCACCAAGGCATCTCTGCCTAATTTTTTTTTTTTACTTTCCTTCTTAATGATTTATTTTTATTTCATGTGCATTGGTGTTTTGCCTGAATGTATGAGGGTGTTGGATCCTCTGGAACTGGAGTTTTAGATGGTTGTGAGCTGCCATGTGGTGCTGGGAATTGAACCAAGGTGCTCTGGAAGAACAGCCAGTGCTTTTAACCACTGAGCCATCTCTCCAGCCTCCTTTCTTTTTTGTCTTATTTTGCTTTGTGTTTTGTTATTTTGCTTGTTTACATTTAGATTGAACTTTTCTTCTGCTGATTTGAGACAGGGTCTAATGTGGCCCAGGTGGCCTTAAGCTAGCTGAGGAGGAGGAGGTGGAGCTTGAAGTTTGCTCCTCCAGCTTCCTGTTTTTGGAGATGCTGGGATTAAGCAATGCTGGGATCTAACCCAGAGCCTTTGGTGTGCTAGATGGGCCCTCTGAACAAAATCCCCAGCACTTTTTTAGTTACTTATTTGTGTGTGTGTGTGTGTGTGTGTGTGTGTGTGTGTGTGTGTGTGTGTGTTATAGTATGTGTGGTGTATATACATATGTGTGTGCATACACCAGTGCACACATGCAAAGACCACAGGAGGCTGTCAAGTTTCCTGTTGAATCACTCTCTACCTTATTCTTTGATACCAGGCCTTTCACTGAACCTACACTGGTGCAATCCTCCTGTTTCCACTCTTCCACAGCACTGGGGTTACAGGTACAAGTATGGCTATTCCCAGTTTTTTACATAGCCACCGTGATCTGAAATCAGGTTTTCATGCTTTTGTAATTGTCCACTGAACCATCTCTCCAGTCCCTTTTAATTTTTTTACACCAACAATTTCCCTTTAATTTTGAGTTTTATATTGTGTCTATAAAATTCCCCCAGAAAAAGTTATAAACAAATTTTTATTCTCCATATATACAACTTGCTCCTTGAGAAATTATTTAGTTCCTTCATTTGTCAAAGGTATACATGAACTATTTTAAGCATAGGTAACAAAGTTTTCTATAAATGGTCAGATAGCATTTGTAGAAAATTTAGCAGCCTTAGGTGGTGGGGAAATTAATAAATGTGGCTCTGGGCAAATAATTTTTTTTAATGAATACCGATGTTTCTTTCTTGATTTTCTTTTCTTTGTATAACCCTGGCCACTCTGGAACTAGCTCTGTAGACCAGACTGGCCTGAAACTCAGATTTGCGTGTCTCTGCCTCATGAGTGCTGGGATTAAAAGCATGTGCTACCACTGCTCAGTTTGAATACTGAGGTTTTAATCTTGTGTAATTTTTATGTTCTGAATGGTCCCACTTTTTTCAAATCTTTAAAAGGTATAAATGTGTAAGAGCTAGTCAATAATAAGCCTGAACTAATAGCCAAGCAATTATAATTTAAAAAAAAAGGTATAAATATAAGCCTGGAATGGTGGTTCATGCCTTTAATCCCAGCATATGGGAGGCAGAGGCAGGCAGATCTCTGTAAATTCAAGGCCAGCCTGGTCTACACAGAGAGTTCTATGACTACATAGAAAGAACCTATCTCAAAAGAAAAAAAGATATAAATGTTTGAATGCCATTCAAAATCATGTAGTGGACCTATAGGTTAGATTTTGTCAATTCTTGGTGCTAGAGTTAAATATTTCTACTAAGCTTAGCAACTTTATTTTTAATTAAAGGAATATATAATTTAACATAAAAAATTAGCAATACCCAGACTCCAACTACACACTGTCCACTCTCCAGAATCAAACAATTTTTAACACTTTTGCTGTTTCACCTGGCATTTGCCTCCAGTTACCTAAACAATTTGATTACATAATCCAGTTCAATTGTCTTTTTGTATTTTAGGAACTGTTGTTGACTTCTTATAGGAAAGATGATGATGTAACTCTTTCACTTGCCTCCTTTCTAGACAACACACACTTCATATTTGGCCTTCCTTTCTGCACAGTGCACACTGATGATTTCAGGTGCATGATTTCTTGGGGTTTACACGGTCAAATCCTCAAATCCAAGGGAATACTAGTCACAAATGAATAATTAGTGTTATTTATTTATTTATTTTTCTTTTCCTTAGAGTCAATATTTATACTCCTTTCTGCTTGTTTTCTATTACCTGTATCGAGTTCAGCACTTCCACCAACTGTATATGTAAAAATCGTCTACCCATGTGTTAAAATATATCTGGCATTCTACTCACTTGATTCCCAGTAGTTCTCTGAAGGAACTTTGTGTGTATGTATGTGTGCAGGCTAGAAGTAGATGTCAGGATGTCTTCCTCTATCTCCACCTTACATTTTTATAATTTTTATTTAATGTTTATTTTATGTATATGCATGTTTTGCCTGCCTGTATGTATGTGTACCATATGCATGCCTGGTACCAGAGGAAGGCTGAAGAATGCGCCAGATCCCCTGGAACTAGAGTTATGGATATTTGTAAGCCACCATGTGGGTGCTAGGAACCGAACTCTGGTCCTCTGAAAGAGCAACAAATGCTTTTAAACATTGAACCATCTCTCTAGTCCTGCCAACCTTTCCTTTTTCCTTTCCTTTCCTTCTTCCTTTCATCTTGCCTTTCCTTTCCTTTCCTTTCTTTCTTTCTTTCTTTTTTTTTTTTGAGACAAGGTCTTTCACTGAACTCACCAATTCCAGTGAGCCACTGGTATTCTCCTGTTTCCAACCCCCAGCACTAGGATTACAGATTTTGGGAGATCCAAACTCAGGCCCTCAATTTACCCACTGAGCCATCTCCCCAACCCCAAACGAGCTTTTAGTTTGCTTTCCCAGGCTGCTGCCCAGTCATGAGCACAGGCTTTCCTTTTGTCATCTGAGAAATAAAAAATGATGTTTGCTTCTCTACTTCCTCTTTCCCCTCAACATCCCTCCATCCAGTACCCTGTTTCCTAAGTCCCTTGTTCATTGTGGTGGTCCTCTATATGTGTCATAAAAAAATCTGAAGAAAGATTATAGAGGAAGTAAACTATTTGAGTTCTTTCATGTCTGAAAATGTTTCACTGTACATTTACAGTTAGGATTTGGAATGTGAGCAGCAAGTTTTACCTCATATGAGGCCCTGGGTTCAATCCCTAGAATGAGAAAGGGTAGGAAGGAAAACAGAGGTAGGGGCGAGACAACAGAAAAGGAGGCAAAGGAAAAGGGAAGGAAGAAAAGGAAGGAAAAGGGAAAAGAAGAGAGTCCTTAATTTAGATAATGGCTTTGTTATAAAATAAATTCTAGGTTGGAAATCATTTATCTTTCAAGGTTTGAAGGCATTTCTTCATTGCCTTCTAGTTGTGCTGAGAAGTCTGAAGACATTCTAACTTCCAGTTCTTTGAATCTGACTTGATTTATTTTTCTCCAACAGTATATCTTCTATGGTATTGAAGATACTATTCAGCCATATTCTTGATTTTATTGATGCTATTAAGAAGTCAGATTGCAGTCTGAAAGTCATGGTTTTAAAGGTAATATGTTTTTTCCTCTCTAGCTTTAATATCTTATCTCTTGATACAGATCGATTTCTGAGTTTGTTTTTTTCTACTTGGAATTTATTAAGCTTTTTAATGTGTGGATTTGTGACCTTCATTAGTTCTAAAAAGTTCTT